TTTGTTTGCAATTTAACATGGACAGACAGATGGACGGACATACATAAATCGACTCAGCAAGTAATTATATGCATATACTCAAATGTAACTATGGAGAGAGACTGGGGCAGCTTCTGCATTGGAGTACCTTCACAATTACGTTTTCGATCTTAAACTCTCATTGTACATTATTTATTATTATGAAATATATATCTTTATTTTTAGAAATTCTTTTTTGGCAAGACAAAACAATATTACGCGTTCATTTTTATCCACTGCCGAATCTTTCTTGATCTTGGTAATTTAATTTAAGTTATTAAAATAGAGGACCTAGGAAGGCTTCGTTTTACATTAGTTTTATTTGCAAACATAAAAAATCGGCCAAAATTTATTAATAAAATAAACTTAATTACTTCAGGAAAAAAATGGATATACATTTTTGACCCGAATATTTAGATAAACGATATTACAAAAACCACCGATTAGGCGTTTAAAATCCATTAACTTACGGATGGAGCCGTTGTCGAAATAAAGGATCCTTATGCATTGAAATCGTCACAGGAGTTACTCCACACTACGATTAACTTTACTTTTTTGAAAAATCTTAAATTTAAGTGTTAAAGACTGTCATATAATCAAAACTTTTTATATTTATATAATCTTTTTTTCTGAATAACACAAAGTTGAATTCATATTGTAAATTTAATAACAAATAAGTAATTCATCGTCGTTTTTCTCAACTTTGTTTTTGGGAGTTAAAGATTAAGTAACACAATTTGAAAAATTTTAAGATTGTCATTGGTAACACAACACATTTTGTGCTAGTTTATAATACTATATCAGCGAACAAATTAATTTTTCTTCGTAAAGAAATAATAAACAAGATAATTTTTTGTTTATAAATTACCTTTAACAATGTTTTTTTTAACGTTTACATTTGTTGCAATCAATTATTTTTAACATTGAAAATTTGTCGTACTTCGAAGTCCACTGCAGTTATTTGTATAATATTTTTCATTATTTATTGACAAAGCGTTTATTATTAGAACTGATGTTCAAGTAAATGTGCGGTATTCTTTATTCCAGTCTTTAATTATATTTTTGCCAATTTTTTATATAAACATTAATTTAAAGATATTATATCTGTATTCCACGATTTCGTTTTCAAGACTGATAATATGGAATGTGGCATGATCATACACCGTTAAATAATTCCATTCCGAGCTACCTGCTTACGTAGTTACATACTTTTTTCAAAATACCAAGAACTCAAGGATAGGAGCAGGTAAGTAACAGTTTTCAGAATGTCACAACAATTTACCTAGATTTGTGTACATTTTTTGCTAGGATACAAAATAGCTGTTTAAGTACAGCCTATTCAAATAAAAGACATAATATTCCATTATTAAAAGTATAGTGCTACAAATACATCTATGAGGCGGCTTATAATGAAAACAGAATACAATACACGTAATTGTTTAATGTCTCTCAGTAAATTTGTTAGGAGTAATTTACGTGAGATATACCTTAATGTAATTTTAGGATTAAAATAATGCATGTCGTATATGGAATGTTTTCTTAGTGATGTTCACTATACATGTTATATGAAATTACACCATAACACGTTCCTTCTGACGCATGGAAGAAAATCTACTTCTTATATATTTTAATAAATATATTTTTTATTTTGCTGTTATATTATTTGGAATTGGTAATTGTATATCCTTTTATTTTTTATTTAAATAAACTACAATATTCAGCGATGGCACAACTTCATTCATTTGTTTATGTTTTAATCTATGTTAGATTTGTTCATGTTTTATGCTATGTACAAAAAAGGTATGTAGAAAATCAATTTAAAGTCAACTTATTATATATAACTTCTTAGAGAAATATTAAAACGGTAAACTTGGAAATCCACTAAATAAATTTTAAAAAATGTGAAATATTATAATTCGTTCAACATTTCAAATTTTATTGATGTATGCTTCTACACAAACTACACACATTCAGTACTATTGAAATTGAAAATAATATTCAGACATGTAAAAATTTACGCACATAATGCCACAGTGTTGTAATTTTAACTTTATTCAATAAAATATAGAAAAAAATAAGAACTATCAACAGACCAAGATTGTTTTTGCTCATTTCCTTTTATTTATTTATTACAAAGTATGATGTGTGCAAAAATGTACATCAATCGACTCTCGTTTCCTCGACAGAGGGGTCTACGATCCGAAACGACCCGAGTCTTACTCGGCCAACGTCTGTCACCTCAGCCCATTGTGTAAAAGCAATAGGGCTGCTACAACAACAACAACATCAATCGACTCTATAAATTAATTAATTGGCATAAGCCATTCAGCAAGAACAGTACGAGGGCACAGCCCAGATTTTAATTCTAACTCAAGAAAATAATTATCACAAATATAGATATTAGAATAAATATAGATACTAGATACTATATTTAATTACAAACCCATCACAGACATTTGTGCTCAGATATACAGATAGAGTAAAAAAATCTGTAAAACTTTAGTTTAGTAAGTTCGTTGACAGAAAGACAACATAGCTTTGTCCAACATGTTGTTTTACATATTGTTATTGTTTAAATCTATGCTAAAAAACGAAATTAACCCTGTTTTAGAGCTTATATATAAAACGCAACTAGTAGCTAGTAGTATTAATTTGGGGAAAAAGAAATCCATTATTTTTATATGAACTATGGGACTTCATTAACATGCTTCGGAATGTCCGATTTGGGCCAAATATGCACCGTTTTATTATATGATTTGTTGCCTTTTTAAAGGTAACTTCAAAATGCCTTTATCATAGAAGTCCTGCTCTGTATTTGCAAAAAAATCTCTAATAGTCGATTTTCACAATCCTCCCTAGATACCAATTTTTCATCATTAAAGAAATTTTGCAAGGCAAGAAAGATCATAATCGCTTGGTGCCAAGTCCAAACTGTATGGCGGATGCATCACTGTAGATGTGTGTGGCCTAACGTTGTCCTGGTGGAACACGACACCTCTCCTGTTGGCCAATTCTGGCCGTTTCTGGTCAATTGTTATCTTCAAACGGTACAGTTGTTGACAGTAGAGATCAGAATTTAGGATTTGGCCATATGGGAGCAACTTATAATAAATAAGTAATGACAGGAATTATTACTGGTCAATGCAATATCGGGGCCTTTACTAGTAAATGGGATCGTAATGCAATTGATTACTGTAAACTCTTCGCTGAAAAGGAGGAGACAGAGACAATTGAATATCTTCTGTGTCACTGTCCAGCCCTGGCTTACAGGCGGCACAGACTAGTGGGTGCTCACTTTCCACCCAGTCTTAGCTTCTTCCCAACAACTGAACCTGCTCTAATGTACAGCATAATTAGAAACCTAAAGTGGTTGGGAAAGAGCAACCTCGACACGTAATATATCTTTTGTCCGATCTCTATCATTTCTCCAATTTTAGTACAGTCATCTGCCGAAAAAAAGGGCAAAAATGTGTAAAGTACCAATTTGTATATTCGGTCCAAATTATATATTCGTATTCGAATTTTACGGATTGTGCCATCAGAATTGTTTTTGATTCTTGTAAGTCAGGGTTTATACATGCAACACCGAGACGATCGAAGGTTTCTTTATTTGAAAAAAAAAACAATTTTAGTTTCCCTAGAGCAAAAAATATATTATTAAAAATAAAATATTATTTTTTAATATATTAGGTGGGGGAAAAAGGAATGTTAAACGGTCCAAAATAGGTATACGAGGTAATAAAAACATGAGGGTTCGATATATGTATATATCCGCTAATATATTTCTGACCATTCAGAATATTTTTATATCATTTAAATCAGTTCTCGTTTTTTGAGTTATAAGCGGCGAAGTAACGACTAGTTCTTTTTCCTATATACAAATTTCCATAAATATTGTTTGGGATGGAGAGCTGGGGAATGTGCAGTCCACTGTAAATCGCGTAAATCGCATTGGATTGTAACGATTGTAACTATCCTAAACATTTGTTTTTGATCATTATGTGTCTGGAATCTCAAAATATATGGCATATTCTCTTCTTCTAATGCGATTTTAGCGGCATAAAATATATCCAGACAGTTCGACCTTTTGATTCTTATATAATAAAACAATATATTTTTTCGAGCTTGAGGTCTTTTTTATTTTTCACGATCAATGTTTCGCAATTGTTTTAAATTGCATCTTCAGGATGATCTACAAACAATTTTGAAATTAATGACATTAATTACACAGAATGAAGTGACAAAATCGCTTACAAATAAACTAGTGTCAAGTTTACTTAAAACTATGATAGACTTCACTATCGTCGTCGGATGTAAATATTGCACTGAGTTTATTTTAGTTTATTGCACGATCTCTCTTTCTGTGTAAGGTGTCTGTAACAGTAAGCTGCGTTGTCTGTGTCGCTCTTAAAATTAATTCCCTTTGTTGTTGGTAGGTTGTTTATGTAAGTCTCCTATTGTAATTGTTTTCTGTTTGAAGTATTTGTACTTTATCAAAGTTTGGTCTATGGTTGTTGTTCTTACAGTGTTCTGCAAGTGCTGTTTTTTGTGTATTATTCTGATTCCTTAATTTAATGTCAGATTTGTGTGCCGATAATCTGGTTTTTAATTTATTTTTTGTGGTTCCAACATACACCTGTTTACATTTTTCTTCATCGTTTCCATCACATTCTATTTTATAGATAACATTGTGTTTTTCCAATTTGTGTATCTTGCTTTTCGTGTTGGGAAATAACGTTTTTAGCGTATTATTTGTTTTTTGGGCCACCTTATATTTTTCTTTATCAAATAAATTTGCATTCTGAAATCTTTCTGAAATTATTGGGATATAAATCATTGATTTGTAAGTTCTTTCCTCCTCAGTTCGTGGCTGTTTCCTTCGTAGTGTCTGATTATTTAGTATTCTGTTGATTACGTTGGCTGGAAAATTGTTATTTGATAGAATTTCTCTAATTTTAATTTTGTTGGTTTCGTGGAACTTTTCATCGCTTATTTTTAAAATTCTGTTTGCTAAGTTGTTTGCCGTGTTCATTATTATCTGCTTTGGGTGTTTTGAAAAGAAGTTTATGATCCTCCCCGATGCGGTGGGTTTTTGGTACCAGTCTAGTTCTAATTTACCCTTATTTTGATACACCAACGTGTCCAAATACGGTAAGCATCCGTTGTTCTCTTTCTCCATTGTGAACTTTATATTGTTGTTGTAGCTGTTTAAAATAGTCAAGGTATCTGTTATTGCATCTTCCCCCAGTATCACAAAAAGATCGTCAACATATTTGGTTACTAGTGTAGGTTTCGTCGTTAGTTGTTCCATACAGGTGTCAAGAAGTTTCTCCATCACTATATCAGCTACAATTGGAGAAGCTGGTGAACCCATTGGCAGTCCTTTTTTCTGTTTGTAAACCTTGTCATTATACGTGAAGTAGCGGTTGTCCTTAATGCAAAACGTAAGAATACTGGAAAATAAGGCCTTTGTCATATTAGTGTATTCTCGTATTTCGTCCCATTTTTCTTCTATTATTTTTATTCCTAGGTTTACTGGTATGCTCGGGAACAGTGATATCACATCAAACGATACCATTTTGTCATTCTCACCGACAGTTAAATTGGTTATCTTCTTTTTAAAGTCAATTGAGTCCCTTACGTTGTATTTTGAGTTAATTGTCAAGTTCTTGAGTATTTTAACCATGTATTTGCAAAGTTGTATGGAAGGTGAGTTTATGGAGGAACATATCGGCCGTAATGGATAATTTTCTTTGTGTATTTTGGGAAGTCCATATAGTCTTGGTGCGGTGGCCACGTCTGATTTAAGTTTTCGTCTCTCTATTGCACAAATTATGTTATTCTTGTATAACTCTTCCACTAGTTCATTGTTCTTTTTAATTAAACTTGTTGTTGGGTCCTTATTAATACGTTGATATGACATCATGTCCGATATTATATTGTTCATTCTTGCTTGATAATCTTCCTTGGTAATTGCCACCGTTACATTGCCTTTATCCGCATTCAATATCAATATGTCGTTGTTATGTTTTAGAATAGTTCTTGTTTGATCCACTGTGCGGTTAATTACTTTGTCTCTTTCACTTTCTCTCTTCTTGTTCAAATGTGTGTCTATCATTGTTGTAAATTTAGTTCTCAAAATTTCTTGTTGTTCTTTGTCTTTGTTGGTTTGAATGATATCCTCTCCAATGAATTTAAATAAGGGAAAATCTCTCCGCTTTGTTGGTAATCCAAACTTATCGCCAAGTGAGAGAAGCCACTTTACTTCGTTAGGAAATTGTATGTTTGTTTTGTTCACAAACCAGTTCTCATTGTACTTTATGTTGAGTTCGTTCATTTGTTGTTGTTTAAGCTTGTCAAATTTTTGTTTTTGGATTTTGTTAGTTTCCTTTTATATGTTATTTGTTATTTTGTTTTCTTTGCAGATTATGTTGTCTTTCTCCTCTTGTGTTAGATGTTTCTCTAATTCAGTATCTAATGTTTGTATTTCAGTGTTGTGGAATTTAAGTTCTTGGTGTTTTTGTTTTATGACCAAGCTAAGTATTTTATTTTGAAAGTTGATTATGTATGTCTCTAATGTTTTTTGAATGTGATGTATATGGGGAAATTAAAAGATATTGTAAATATTTTTTACTGAATTTCTTATGAAATTGGGTATTATACCATTGTTTCGGCATCTGATTAAAAATGTTAGAGAACATTTTGTTTTTGCAGCTTTTACCTTTATGTTTTTGTGTCTGTTTATGGTATGCCTGATATTGTTGTTTTTCTTTATGTTGTTGTAGATCATGTTGATGTTGTATTCTATCTTTCGGCGTGCTCTCCGTATTGTACTTCGTTCTGTGTTGTTTTGTTCGACCTTTTGATTCTTATATAATTCTCATTCTGTATAATTAATGTCATTAATTTCAAAATTGTTTGTAGATTATCCTGAAGATGCAATTTAAAACAATTGCGAAATATTGATCCTGAAAAATAAAAAAGACCTCAAGCTCGAAAAAAAATATATTGTTTTATATCCAGACAAGCTAGCTTCCCCAAATTTGGAGTGTAGAATTCTAATGTTAGAAATAATAAAAAATGGGCGGGCCACGCCCCCCGCATGTTGGGTATTTTGGCAATGTTGCTTTCGTTTTTCAACGGAATTGGCTGAAATTTGGTATTTTGGGTTCTCAGTGTATAGAAAATCTCCCTACCAAAAATTATGAATATTGGACTAGTTCTTCGGGTAGCCCCCATATAACGGTATATCCCATTATTCGGAATTTTTGAGATTTTGCGCACGTTTCTTTAACAAATAGGCTGTGTTTATGTATTTTAGGTTATTATTGGGTAGCAAATCTTCCTACCAAAAACTATCGATATTGGTCGACTTGTTAAAGTAGTCCCCATATAATAGTACCTCCGAAATTTCGGTATTAAGGGGAATTTGGGTACTTTTTTCAACCATGTTGGATATAATTTTATATTTTGGATTCCCATTTCTTGGAATGACTGATGTCACAAGTAGGGAAGGATAGAAAAAAATATTTGTTTAACAAAACTGTGGCCGGTTGAACCATTAGACCCGTATCTCAAAACTAGGACCGATTCTTCAACATCCATTGTACACAATATTTCATTTCTATATTTTATTCTTACTTCTGTGAAGTATAATCCATTTTAGTTACATAATTAGATAAATTCCATGCTTTAATTAATATAAATTTTCTTAATTTACTGTCAATTTCGTATGGAATATTTCTTTTTATGTAAATTTTGATCCTGAGTTTTTCTGCAAAAATGTTAATAATTCGTTTATTAGCAGTCATTAGCAGACAATTTTAGCATGACATAAAACTAGGGTTTTCTACAAACAATCACATATAAATAGTTCCTGTAACACTATGTTACAACTTTAGTTTTACTCCACGGAAAAGATAAAACTATTCAAAATTTCACAAAAAAATACACACACAAAACTCCAACATATGTCCGAAATACAAACATTTAGCAAAGTATATTTTTATATAGTAAAAAGTACCCTACTCGAGCATTAGAATTCATATTTATCAAGATTTTTTTCAAAACATATGTTATTAAAAACGGCTTTTAATTTTACGAAAATATTGCTGCTTCAATTGTAATAACGCGTGCTAAAAGTAATGTAAACATTAACAGCTGATTGTACATAAACAGGGTTGCCAAGAGTAAAAACTTTACTCGATATTTTCTAATCAGTATGTTGTGTACTGAATGCCATTAACAAATTTTGAAAATTTTTAAGTTGAAAAAATGACTTTTTGCCGCCAAAATGGCGATTTCAGCCATAGTGCAATGGATAAATACCTCATTTAAAATATACTTATAAGTGGACGGGCCTTTGATAATGACATGCATTTCACCTATTCCTTGAGCAGAACAAAAACGCAACGCCATAATATAGACATCTCCAAACTTGACTGTCTTGCATATGTACTTTGAGTGTAGACTCTTTCCCTTTGACCATTTTAAAATTGATCTTCCATCGCTGTCCCTTAAAATTAAATTGGTTTGTTCTGTGTTGTTTTGTTCGACCTTTTGATTCTTATATAATAAAACAATATATTTTTTCGAGCTTGAGGTCTTTTTTATTTACACTAGTAACCAAATATGTTGACGATCTTTTTGTGATACGGGGGGAAGATACAATAACAGATACCTTGACTATTTTAAACAGCAATATAAAGTTCACAATGGAGAAAGAGAACAACGGATGCTTACCGTATTTGGACACGTTGGTGTATCAAAATAAGGGTAAATTAGAACTAGACTGGTACCAAAAACCCACGGCATCGGGGAGGATCATAAACTTCTTTTCAAAACACCCAAAGCAGATAATAATGAACACGGCAAACAACTTAGCAAACAGAATTTTAAAAATAAGCGATGAAAAGTTCCACGAAACCAACAAAATTAAAATTAGAGAAATTCTATTAAACAACAATTTTCCAGCCAACGTAATCAACAGAATACTAAATAATCAGACACTACGAAGGAAACAGCCACGAACTGAGGAGGAAAGGACTTACAAATCAATGATTTATATCCCAATAATTTCGGAAAGATTTCAGAATGCAAATTTATTTGATAAAGAAAAATATAAGGTGGCCCAAAAAACAAATAACACTCTAAAAACGTTATATTCCAACACGAAAAGCAAGAAAAGCAAAAATTGGAAAAACACAATGTTATCTATAAAATAGAATGTGATGGAAACGATGAAGAAAAATGTAAACAGGTGTATTTTGGAACCACAAAAAATAAATTAAAAACAAGATTATCGGCACACAAATCTGACATTAAATTAAGGAATCAGAATAATACACAAAAAACAGCACTTGCAGAACACTGTAAGAACAACAACCATAGACCAAACTTTGATAAAGTACAAATACTTCAAACAGAAAACAATTACAATAGGAGACTTACATTGGAAATGCTACACATAAACAACCTACCAACAACAAAGGGAATTAATTTTAAGAGCGACACAGACAACGCAGCTTACTGTTACAGACACCTTACACAGAAAGAGAGATCGTGCAATAAACTAAAATAAACTCAGTGCAATATTTACATCCGACGACGATAGTGAAGTCTATCATAGTTTTAAGTAAACTTGACACTAGTTTATTTGTAAGCGATTTTGTCACTTCATTCTGTGTAATTAAAGTCATTAATTTCAAAATTGTTTGTAGATCATCCTGAAGATGCAATTTAAAACAATTGCGAAACATTGATCGTGAAAAATAAAAAAGACCTCAAGCTCGAAAAAATATATTGTTTTATTAAATTGGTTTCGTAAAAAACTAACAGTGTTTAATTTTTCTCTGAAAATTTTATTCGAGCAGTTATCAGAGATTTATTTGCCGGGAAAAACCAGCCTCATGTGTACAAATCGGGGTTTTTTTTATTTCTGTAGGTTAGCAGTAACTTGACCCTTTTCCCGTTCGCCACAATCAACTCAAATTTTCTGGACTCAATGCCGCGCACCAGACAAAAAATTACATGTTTGAAATTGGGTAAACATGAAATTGACATATTTCTAGCGTAAACATACATTTTTCAAAAATGTTTGTTTTATTATATTTTCTCCCCAAGATAAATTTACAAAATGCCATATTAGTATTTGCATTTCACTATTTATACATTCTTTAAATATATTTTTTTGCCCTCGTTTGTCAATACTTCTGCTATAACTCTAGATCATCAGATGGTTTTGTAACTCTAGATCATCAGATTCAGTTATAAAAATGTGGGCATATTTCCGCCATTACGAAAAAATCGTTTTTTTCTCGGTGAAATTCAATAAACTTGGCTCCTCATCCAAGAATTAGAAAGAACAATTATCAGGAAAATAAATTTCAATTGGACATACTAAGTTGTATCCTTTATATGAAATCGGAAAAAATCCTGAATTAGAGTCACAGTATATCAAGAATGAATTTATAAAACATTTTCAAATATAGAAGCTCGAAATAACACTAACTATACTATTTTTGATATTGATTTGTTATTTATCATTAGACCTCGGATTGCATATTTTTTATGTTTTATCCGATTGGACTCAAATTTTGTATTTAGGCGTTTCATGCTCCATTTGATCTATATTTGGAGTCATGTTAAAAATATGCAAAATATGCAAAAAATATGCAAAATATGCAAAAAATATGCAAAATATGCAAAAAAATATGCACGGTATGCAAGGTCGATTTGCGATAAATATGCAAAATATATACAAAAATATGCAGAATATGCAAAAATATGCAAGATATGCAAAAATATGCAAAAATATACAAAATAAGCAAAATATGCAAAAATATGTAAGAATATGCAAAATATAGGCAAAAATATGCACGAATATGAAAAATATGCAAAAATATACAAAATATAGGCAAAATATGAAAAAAATATGCAAAATATGAAAAAATATGCAAAAATATGCAAAATATGCAAATATGCAGAAAATAGACAAAATATGCAAACATCTGCAGAATATGCAAAAATATACAAAATATGCAAAAATATACAAAATATGCAAAAATATACAAAATATAGGCAAAAATATTCTAAATATGCAAAAATATACAAAATATC